GTTTATACTTTAATGCCATATAATTTTTAAGGGCTGTAGTTATAAACGATTCTGTTGTATATATGTATCATAATTATTTAGGCAATTATTTATTATAAAACATTTGCATTCCAATTTTCCCTGTTATTAAGTATTGCAACTTATACCACTCATGCATATAATTTGAATTTTTTTTTTAAAGATTTTATTTATTTGAGAGACAGAGAGCACGAGCAGGGGCAAAGGGCAGAGGGAGAGGGAGAAGCAGACTGCCTGCTGAGCAGGGAGCCCGACATGGGACTCCATCCCAGGATCCCGGGACCATGACCCAAGCCGAAGGTTGATGCTTAGCCGGATTCCCAAGCACCCCACAGTTTGAAATTTTTAACATGAAAAAGCTTATAGATACACTAGGGACATATATGAAGACTGATTTTCAACGAAATTGTCCAAAATTACAGAGGTAGGAAGTGAGAAATGTCTTTTTTTTTTTTTTTAAGATTTTATTTATTTGTCGGAGAGCACAATCAAGGAGCGGCAGGCAGAGGGAGAAGCGGACTCCCTGCTGAGCAGGAAGCTCCGCATAGGAATCGATCCCAGGACCCCAGGATCATGACCTGAGCTGAAGGCAGACACCTAACCTACTGAGCCACCCAGGGGTCCCGAGAAATTACTTTTATCTTGGATTAATTCTTTTTCTACCACAGCACACACTGGTTGATTTTATTTTATTTATTTATTTTTAAAGATTTTGTTTATTTATTTGACAGAGAGACACAGCGATAGCAGGAACACAAGCAAGGGGGTGGGAGAGGGAGAAGCAGGCCCCCCGCGGAGCAAGGAGCCCGATGCGGGGCTCGATCTCAGGAGCCTGGGATCACGACCCAAGCCGAAGGCAGCCGCTTAACCGACTGAGCCACCCGGGAGCCCACAGTGGTTGATTTTAGCCAAACTTCCTTATTCATCAAGAAATTGAAATTTGGCCAAGAAAATTGAGTTTCTTTCTTCTTTTTAAAAATATTTTATTTATTTATTTATTTGAGAGAGACAGAGATAGTGAGAGAGAGCAGGAATGGGAAGAAGGGGGAGAAGCCGACTCCCTGCTGAGCAGGGAGCCCGACTGGAGGCTTGATCCCAGGACTCGGATCACACCTAAGCCGAAGGCAGACGCTTAACCAACTGAACCACCCAGGCGCCCCGAGGAGTTGAATTTCTTAATATGGAGGTTCCGTTAAGCAGAGTGTACATTTAACTTTTTCATTTATTCTAGTCAGTTTCGTTTGTCACAATCTTTGAATAAAAAAAAATACCTTATTATAGTTGCATAATGCAGTTATTCTATATTTTCATGTATTGCTTTTTTTAAATGACATTTGCCAGTTATTTTAATAACACCTACGGCCTGTTTGTTCATTTATTCTTTTATTTACTGGATTATGTTAGGCATTGTTATTTAAGTGTAAAAATCTGAGTTTTTTAAATCAAAAGAGTATAGAAACCACCAGAGCCATAACGTTTGTTTCTGTAAGACAAAAATAAAAGGTTATCTGAACTATTGATGAAATATTTAAAAATCACTATTGGTATAGCTCAGCTGATTTCTAGCCTTAGATTATCGATTGTATTCTCCAGTGATCTGTATTTAATATGTTTCCAATAGGTTCTTTTCAGCCAACAAATGAAATGATGCTCAAATTCTATAGCTTCTATAAGCAGGCAACTGAAGGACCCTGTAAACTTTCAAGGCCTGGATTCTGGGATCCTATTGGAAGATACAAATGGTAATTTCACATAGAGAGCTATGAAAGGGATTTTATTTTAGTGACATAATTATCATATGACTTATTTGTGTGGTTATGTATTAGTCTGAGCAGAAGTGTTCTAACGTACTAGATCCAATTTTTATCTTCCATGTGCTTTTAACACAATTTCATACAAATAGAAAAGTCTTGGGGAAGAGAAGAAGATAAAACCAAAAGGTGTATCAAAGATTAAAAAATATCATTTTCAGTTAGTCTTTCCTTTGATAGAGTTTTTTTCATTTATCGTAAGAAGAGCAACTCCCAAAATCAGTTAAACAAACAAACTCTTCTGCCTCTTGTACCTACCAAGAAAAATAATGACTTTACTTGCCAAGTGACACTGTTTGCCTTGAGCCTTTAGACGATAACTAGGCGTATGACTAAGGGACTGCTGTGCTAACTTTTTATCTAGGCTGTGTTCCTCCTGTCCCACTGTACTTGAATAGAAATTTGATTTTTAATATCCTTAAGAAAATCATAAAATAGCCGGAGATACCTCTGTAACATAGACTGTACGTTATGAACAGAGTATGCTAATTGGTGAAGCATGTCTTAAGAGCCACACATTTTGATGGCTTAATTTCTTTTTTTTTTTTAATTCCACTTATTTATTTGAGAGAGAGAGAGAGCACATGCAGGGTGAGGGGCAGAGAGAGAAGCAAGACTCCCTGCTGAGCAGGGAGCCCGATGCAGGGCTTGATCCTAGGTCTCCGGGATCATGACCTGAGCTGAAGGCAGATGCCCAACTGACTGAGCCACACAGGTGCCCAATGGCTAAATTTCTTTACACTGCATTGGAAGTTCTTAAACTCTTTTGAGGATTTCTTAGTACGGTACTTTCCTCTAAGTTCTTTATGAATAGTCATAGATAATAGGTCAAATGTAATAGCAGTATGTTACCTAATCTGTTTTAGGAAAATTGATTTACTTTATGATTTTTCCTCAGAAATGACCATTGGTTGATTTAAACTGCTTCTGGAAAAAATATGTAAAAAGAAAGGTTTTCATTTTAGGCAGAAATTTCAAAGGACTCTTCTCATCATCTAGGGGTTTAAAAATGTCCTCTGCCTCACATTTTTGTTTTTTTAGAAGTAGGAAACCACTTGTATTTTTTGAGTGTGTAAGTTAGACTCCTGTTTAAATTAATGGAAACTTTTAAGCAAAACTTCTGTTCATTTAAAACATGGCTGTGATAGTTCATTTCATGTAGAGTTCTAAAATGTTCATTTATGTCACTGTTCTTTGTAATACAAAATTTTTGAAGAGTTCCTAGCAAATATTTTTCAACAGTCTATAGTGTCTGCTCTATAGTATATATAATATAGTCTCTGTAATCTATGGTCTATAATCTATGGATGGGCTGTGTATTTACTAGTTTTAAATACTATTCAATTTGACAGTTTATTTACTCTGATACTTATTCTTTAAGATGGTACATTTAAAGTGATCCTTTGAGAGCATCATATCTTTGTGTAGGCTTTAAGTAAAGAGCCCGTTTTAAATTAATGACCCCATAGCATTGACTATAAATTGTATTCTGAGCCATTGGAAAATGTGTCTTTTTGTTATTTGGATATTCTCATTTCTAGGGATGCTTGGAGTTCATTGGGTGATATGACCAAAGAGGAAGCCATGATTGCATATGTTGAAGAAATGAAAAAGGTAGGGGAAATAATTCACAGCAGAAAATGAAAATATTCATGGGGCACCTGGGTGGCTCAATTGGTTAAGCGTTTGATTCTTGATCTCAGCTCAGATCTTGATCTCAGGATCATGAGTTAAAGAAAAAAGAAAGAAAATGAAAATATTCAGAGCAGCTCTAATTTAATTTGTTATCAAGCAAATTAGCTGCTTTGTTTTAAGGAACAAAGAGATTATAATATATTAGGATATAACATCTGAGTTATTGAATTTATTAGTGCTTTATCTGTCTCCTCAATGTTCATCTTAAGGTCAATGTTTTTTCCTTAAGATCGCATTGTAGTGATGTGATTTTTCTTTTTTTCATCTTCCCGGGCTTTCTCCGTTGTCAACTTCTTCAGAAAGTTTGGAAATAAGAATGTTTTGAAGTACTGAAGTCCCTTTCTCAGGAATCTGGGAAGTACCTGGGCTGTCTTGAAACCATTTCTGCTTTGGAACTTTTTACTTAGGAGAAATAGTTAACAACCCTGCCCCTCAGTGTTCTCATCAAGTTTGACCCACAAATTGAGATATTCCTATCACAGGACTTCTTAGTAACAAGCCTTTTTCTGTGAATGCAGAGATCCTTCAGAAGCAGAATAGGATAAGGATTCTTTTAATGTCTCATAATTAAGAGGGAGAGCATTCCTTACTGTTGTCTGTTCAAGGGATTGTTTTGAGGAGCAAATTTATGAAGAAATCTTGGATTTTAAAGATACTCTTAGTGTCTTTTTATAAAGCACCGTTTCTATTTTGGAACTGGATCAGAAATTGTGAAATTTAGGTCTGTTTGATAATCTTAAATAAATTATCTGTGAACATAAAGAAAATCTGTA